AGGTATGAGAGTAATTTATCAAGACCCAAGGATAAGAATGGTTGGAGAAATAAATGATTATATCATCTTCTAGCCTATGAAGCTAAAAGGCATGTAAACTCCACATCTTGACAAAGTTGGAGGAGTCCTCCCCCACAATGTGCATAGTTGGGGTGTGTACCTGGGATGGGGAGAAGGGAAACCACTGTTTATTTGTTCTTGCACTGAAAGCATCCGACATCAGATTTATGTTTGGTTTGAAGAGTTTTATAATAATTGTAACCTTAGGGAAGATGCCAGTTGTCAACTAAAGCAAGTCCTCACGGGCCTTATTGACACAGTTCAATCGTATTTTTCAGAAATGCCTCTGTGGCTTCTGCGTCAGCAGGAACATAGCCATGGCATGAGCTTGCACTCTGGGATCCATGTCAAAGTAAGCCTATACTTAGAAAATGAGCCAGCACCGCCTGTCTGTTTTTAAAAGACATTTGCTCTGCATGTACAGATGGTTCCCAGATGGCTGGCCTAGGGCTCCTGATAGTGTATCTTAGCCTTAGAGTCTATATGAGGCCTGGCATTCTGCGGTATGAGGATTTCTCCACATCGGAGACAAGTAGCAGTTGTCAGACATCGAAGAACATTGGCTGCAGTTAAATGTATTTTGAACTTAATATTTTCAGTCCTTTAAAGATTTATTAAACTGGAATATTAAATCCACTATAAACAACTTATAACTTATTATTCTTGTAGGGCTTATCTTGGAATGGGCTTGCATACTTTGGGAAAACGGTAGTTGATTTTTTAATTTTTATTACCAAAATCTCCTTTAATTTTTTTTATATAAGCAACAATGTGTCTTACAGAAAATTTCAAAAATAAAAAATCCCCAAACAATCTTTAAGTTTTGCTTATGTTTTCTTTACTGTGTATTTATTCTTTCATCATAATCACACTACACAGTTTGTTTTCTCATCCCAGTAAATCACAATGATTATGGTATATATTGGAAGGACTCAGCTGAGTGGTTGTAACACAACTGAGAGTACTGTATTCTTCCTGGATCATATTCAGTGGAGTTTACCAAGAAAACGTTGAAGGCCCGCCACACTGAAGTATTATAAACAGGTGGATGAGAGAATACACTTCCTAACACCAGTCATTTAGTTATGTTGATAACAGACCAATTTATCTCAATCAGCTTTCAAACACTGTATTAAGTAACTGAGATAATCTCCATGTAGAGTAAAGGTTATTTTGGCTCACAGTCTTGGAGATTTTAGCCTGTGACTTAATGACCTTGTTGCTTTGGGCCTAAGCATGGAATGCACAATAGAGTGAGGTGTCAAATGCGTGGCAGAGTGAGGTGTGCGGTGCTTGGAAAAGTATGCTGCCCGAAGGCAATTCTCCTCTCTGGCTACTTTGAGGACTTTGAGAAGGGGCATATCTAGTTAAGCGAGCAACTATAATCACATTCTTACCCTCACATTAAAAATCCCCTTGCCAAATTATTTTCACCCACAGTTTTTGCCTCTTTCTTTTGAGTCATGTCGACAATTGCTGGATTGTTAGACTGGAAGATCAGTATGATCCTGGGGTGTCCTGTTTGTGAAGATATTTAATTGTGTGGTCTGTTATGCTGATCCCTATTTCTCTCTCTGAAACAGGGTGAAATTTATATGTGAAATCAAGCTTTGCCAACTTTAGTCATTAGTGTATCTCTAATTCCCATAACTGCCTGGCATACAGCAAGTGTTCCAAAGATATTCATGGAAAGATTTCTGTATTGTTTCGATTAGACAAAACAATCACTTTGGTTAAAAAAGGAATGACCCTAGCACTTCCCAACAATAGAATTTCTAATACTCAAGGATCTTAGGATGCTTGAGAATCAAAACCAAAGATCAGAGTAAGCAGTTGGCAAAGAAAGCTGAGAACTGGTGAGTTGGATTAACTAGAAATCTGAGGCTCAGCTGGATGACAACTAGACAGACCCCCCCATCAGGTCTAATCAGCTTGAAAACACGCAGCCAATACCTAGCCATCGGCTAGGTCAGCTTGAATCTGCTCATCCTGGGAAGTCACTTCAGAACTCTGGACCTAAGAAGCCAGTGAGAAAATCGAGACTTGATTGCTGAGAAGTTATGGGGGGTGGGAGGGGAGAGTTATTTTGATAGCTACTTCCCATGTTCCACAAAACCCTCTATAAAGAATTCTAAACCCACTTTACAGAAAAGGAAACTAAGAATCGAAAGTTTCAAGTAGAGGCCTGTAAGGTGGGTTAGTGGATGAAGGCACTTAAATCCTGGCGACTTGATTCCAGTTCCTGGACCCCACATGGTGGAAGGGGAGAACCAACGGCCTCAGTTATCCTATAACCTCCACATGCACCCACGGTGTGCGCGCACGCACACACACACACACACACACACACACACACACACACATCAAAATAAATAAATTAAATCTCAGCTCAACTGCTGAAAGCTACACCCAGCTAAAAGGCAAGGGAATCAGTTATGTCTAGATGGTAATTTCAAATGCTGCACTCTTCCTGCTACATGTATTTCTCATAATATTCAAGTCCCATCCAGTCATGGCTGTCCTGGACACTGAAAAATCAATCCTGCACACCCATCACCCATTCATGTTAATTGTACCAGTGTCAGCTTCATTTCTCCTAGAGTTTGGATCTTGACTGTCTCTCGAACTCCATGTAGTATAGCCTGCAGCTTTGCTCTCTTGGAAGGTGGTAGAATCTTAACAGTTGGGACCTAATGGGATGATAACACTCCAACATTCTCAAGGCTGAGTGAGGTAGACAGCTTCCATGAAGAGATGCTCAAAGTCTTAGCCGTACCTATGCATTTGTGTTCACAAAAGGCACAAGTGAAGACTGCTACGGAAAGGAAGATAGGTTAGCCCAACTGGATATTCTTGAAACATAAAACATTATGCAAACCATATGCTGTACTTCCTGGCTTTTCTTTATTTGAAAGTCACTGACTTTTACTGTTAGATGATGCTAATTTTAATACCTTAATATGGATGTAAAGACACACAAACCTGTAGGATAGGAAATGCTGGTAAATAATACTCCTATCAGAAGATGGTGAGTGGGATAACTGCAGCTTTACCATCTTCAAAGGACAACTCACAAGTGGAAATTTTATTAAAGTAACAGAAACCGGAAGTCCTGATATCTGTAAAAGACAAAAGTTAGATGAAGCAGTCATTGACTATCAGAAAAACAATAGCCTAAAACCGGTTACATTTCTGAGGATAAAAATAAAAGCGTTTTCTATGTAACACCATTGTAAACTAGCACTTGCTATTTTGAATGCAGTTCTCATCATCTCACTAGAGGGTGGTGTTGCTTCTAAAACCAGAGCTCCCTGCCCGTCCATAGGACATTCATTTCTGGGTTGCATTTATATTTAAAGAAAAGGTAAAGCCAAGTCTTGCCAGTTTTCCCTAAGAGATGGTAAATGTCAACTATGAATCCTCCCAAGAGCCCCATCCAGTTCTGGCTGGCTGTAGGCTCAGGGGAGCTAGCTAAAGAAGTGAGGAGACCCAGGGAAGCGGATCTCATTTCAGTGTTTGCACTACCCAGTCGGTAGACCGGGCTCCCTGGCTCTCACTTCATCTGTTGAATGAAAGAGCTGTCCTGGATGACCCTCAAGACCCCACTGCCTCCTTAAAGTGCTAGGATTCTAATAAAATTCTGGCTCTGCTGAAGAATTTCTCGGTGCTTTTTGGCCACGCTAAGGAAGATGTAAAATCTTGAATTATGAAATTATTAGTAATTGAAAAGCGTTTTTGCTCTCAGTGGTGTTTAATGCAGACCTCGATGCTGCAAATCTTTTAAATGAAAAATGCCATCTTCCAACTGTCCGGGGACCTGAGAGCCGTCGTCTGCATTTGCCCATGGTGTGGTTAATTCTATTGAATCCACGCGAAGATCTCTCTTCTTGGTTACTACCTTGGTGAAAGGAGCAAAATGGATTTACTTAGACTTGCATGTAGAAAGGAGGCTGAATCCTTGTCAGGAACATTTTACGGCAGAGGCTAAACCTGCCAATCGGTAGAGGTTAAACCTGCCAATAACTGTGTAGTTATGTGACTTTCATCATCTGTGTTCTGTTAGTCGTCGCCGTTCCCAGGGTTTGCGTTAGTCCGTTTTCTCATCCCCTAACCCCCTTCATCCAACTCCTTGTCGTATTTCCTTAGATTGCAGAGTGAAGGGAGAACCCACTGGTAGAACCTGAAACAGACTGTGGAACTCCGGGGTCGCAGCGCGTGGACTTGACTTCTAAGGATTGGCAGGAGAGCCTGTGATTAACCACTGGCCGTGCCAAGTGTCACCACCGCACCAAATGCTCTGGCATTCTCACTCAACACCCTCTTTCTCCCAGATCTGCTGTTTCTTCGGGTGTTTTCTCCGGCTCCTCCCCGCCCCCGCAGCCCCCACCCCCCCTTCCTGGTGCACCTTCGAGCTGCCCGCGCGTTTCCAAACTTCCTAAAATGTACTCCAAGCGCCTGCGGGTGAGCACACCGGCGCGCGCACCCTCGCCTAGTACCCGGGCCGGGCCCGGCGGGCGGGCGGCAGACGAGCTCCGAACACATTCCATTCTTCGCGCTCGGGCACACCCCTCGGCAGTGGGGATTGGTCGGGCCGAACCCCCCCGGCGAGCCTCGGCTCCTGAGAGGCCCAGACGCCTGCCAATCCCCACGGGCTGTCAAAACAAGTCTTCCCTCCCTGTCACAGGCCAGCGGAGTGGAGGCCGCCGCCGCCACACTTCCTGGGGCCACCGCGCCGCGGTCGGCGGGCAGGTGGCGGTTGGCCCGTCCGCAGTCTCCGCTCCGGCCACGCGCGTCCCGGCTCGGGAGGCCGCTGGCCCGGCGCCCGCTTGCCTTTTGTCTGCGCGGCGGAGCGGGCGTTCGCATCACATCTCCGGTGCCTCCCGCTGCTTTTTTTTTTTTTTTTTCCTCCTGCCTCTCCCTCCCGCTCCTCGCATCTTCTCCCCGCCCCCGCCGCCGGCCCGCGCCGGCCCGCTGACCTCCTGGACCACAGCCCGAGGACGCCTCCGAGCGAGCGATGTCTCCTCTCCACAAAGTTGCGGCCGCCGCTGCAGCCGCCGTCGGGCGCTGAAACAAAGTCGAGCGGGGCTGCCTCCCCGGTGCCCGAGCGCACCCGTGCCCAGGGGCTGGACACCGCGGTCGGTCGAGCTGTCTCGCCGGGAGCCCGGAACGTGCTTTGGCCATGGCTGAGGGCGCGGCTGGCAGGGAGGGTCCGGCGCCTCTTGACGCTGCCGCGGGCGAGGACGACCCCCGAGCCGGCGCCGACGCTGCCTCCGGGGACGCTGCCCCCGCGGCCTCGGGTGGCCGGATGAGGGACCGTCGCAGCGGGGTCGCGCTGCCGGGCCCTGCAGGGGTCCCCGCGGACGGCGAGGCCGGTCTCCTGGAGGCTGCGCGAGCGACCCCCCGGCGCAGCAGCATCATCAAGGTAAGCGGAGCCGCAGCAGCCCAGAGCGTGGATGTGGGTGACGGGGAGGTAGGGGACCCTGGCAGGATGTTCTTTGCCTCAGGCGTCGCAGGCTGGGCATTGTTTTCTCCCACCTTCTTCAGTGCCAGACCTTCCTGCCTAGTCCGGAGGTTCCCAGACTCAGCTCTCGGCCTTGAGAAGAAGTGACTTCCCCTCTGACAGCGGAGGAAAAGTTCCTTTCTGCGCTCTGCGCTCTGCGGTTTGGTGGATGCTTTCCCTCATTTTCCCTGCAAGCCTCACTAACCGGTGGATGGGAGGAGGAAGGGAGGACTTGGGATAAACGCAGACCTGCGGGCTGGCTGTGCGTCCTCCAGCGGAGGGCTAGCTTTTCCCGAACAGCAAAGGGAAAGCACAGCTTACTTGTAAGCGTGTGTGGAAAAAAATCTCCCCCAGATACAAACGGTCCCGAAATGCTGAAATGCCTGAACTTTGCAGATAGTCAGGCAGAGTTTGCAGCCGACGCTGCCGCATAGAAAGGATGAAGGAATTGCTCAGGGGCTTCGTGCTGCAGAAAACACACATCCGGGAAAACGTTCCCAGACTCCCCTACCACCCCCCCAGAGGATTTGCCTTTATCCATCTGCCAAGGAATTGTAAACCTTTCTTCACCCCTATTTATTTATTTCTGTCTTCCACTTTGAACTTGTTTCCTCTGTTTGAAAGTTCATCTTTTGGGTGCGTGACTTTGGAGGTTTTTTTTGTTTTTGTTTTTAGGTAAGAGCCCTGACATTGGCTCTGGAATAGGGGCCTCTTAGCACAAATCCATGTGACCACTACGTGCGTGTGAGTTAAGGTTGATCTTGGTAGATAGTCAGTGTGAATACACACTCACGTGTGGATTCACAACACACCACAGCCGACAGTGAGAGAAGGTCGTGGAGTCACCTACTATTCAACCTGACTCACTGGGAAAGCTCGTCGCCTAGAAAGCTTGCTTAGGTTTAAACCTAGCAACCACTGTGTAAGATGCACCTTCCCCCAAGCTACCAGCGCCAGTGTTTGTGCCCACACTCACTTATCTCCAAGCCCTACGCTTTCCCCCCAACAGGGACACATGGGAATTTAAAAGCGACAGGGAGATTTCTATGTTAAAAGTGGATGGTAACTTTAAATAACCCGTAGTAGTTTGTTTATTTGTATTTTCTTTTCTATAATGTGCAAAGAGAATTATATTCTGGATGTGAACTGGATAAAAGAGAAGTGGCCCCCTTTTAACCCTGCAAGTCAGAAATCGTATTCTCTTGAAGCTTAATAGTATGACAACTATGAAACAGGTACATTTAGATTACAATATATTGAGTCTACTTTCGGACTGTGTGCATGAAAATAGGCATTGTAGGGTGGTTTAAGGCGTATGACTATAAAAGCAGTGGTTATTTACAATGTTGTCTCGAGGTGAAAGGACCATACCAATTCTTGCAGCAGGTTTACCTTTCTGAAATTGCGGTTTGCTGCCAGGTGTTCTACCACAGCTTTGAAATCCAAGGGTTGTGGTCACGCAAGCTTGGGACTCAGCACTCGAGAAGCTGACGCAGGAGGATCTTCATTTCGAATGTAGCCTCCTGTACATGGTTATACCTGGTCTCAAAATGAACGAGCCCCACCCCCATTATCTGAATGGCGTGTGGTGTGGTGTTTAGTCACCTAAGGGTCATTGACTAGTAAGAGTGCCTCTCTTGCTTTGACATTTGTTTTTGTGACAAAGGGAAGACAGGAGAGTATTACATTTTCTCTTTAAAGGAAAAATCAAATAAACACTTAACAAACGGTATTTAAAATTAAAGATACTGCAAAATTAGATGGGCTATTTTAAATCAGGTTTATTTGAAGAATGTACATATGATTTGAAACAATTAAATCTTGCAAAGGAGTGTGAAAGTAGGACTTTTTGCTACTCCGTATTCCCACTTACACAGTCTGTCCTACAGTCATTTATATTTTCTTATTTACAGTTTCCAAAATAATCCATGCATTTGCAGGCATATGTATTTATGACTGTGTATCGTGACTTACCGTTGAGGTTGTTAACATGTACAATGAAATCTGGCTAATGTTTTATTGGCTTCACACCTTCAAATTTGTGTCAAACATTTGATGACTAGAGGATTGACTACGGTCACTGTGATGACCTTATGCTCCAAAGATGGACAGATAACAGGTGGGCGGCAGTTGCTGGGATTTGCCCCCAGAGGCCTTCCTTTCCTTCTACTCAGGGATGAGAGGCAGGTGGGCTCTCTTCTATTTTTTATTGAGATCAGTAACATTTTTATTACATCTTGAATCTTCTGTCCCATGGCCTGGTTGCTTTAATGTGGTAAAGATGAGGATTTCTAAAAAGGTACAGACCGTGTGTATTAGTCACTTTTTGTATTCTAATTAGTACATCATAGGAGGAGAGATTTATTTTGGCTCATGGATTCAGAGATTTCAGTCCACCATCACTGGCTGTGTTTTAGGCCTGTCTTGAGGCAGTACACAGTAGCAGAAGGGCATACCAGAGGATAGCAGCAGAGAAGAGACTGAGGACAAAGCTTACATTTCAATGGCATGTTCCTTTTACTCCAGTGATTTGCTTCCTGCAATTGGGCCTCAGCTCCTATTTCTCACTATAATCACATCACAATAATCACATCAAATTATGACCTCATGATGGATCAATCTACTAATTAGGTCTCAGCCCTTATGATCCAATTATATTCTCAAAGTGCCACCTCTGAACATTGCACTGAGAATCAAACTTTTAATACATGAGTTTTTTGGGAGGTGGGTAGGGGGATATTTCATATTCAACCAAAAATACATGTAAGAAATGCATAAATACATATTCTATATTGAGCTTGAGGCCAGCGTGGTCTACAGAGCTAATTCCAGGGCTACATAGAAAAACCCTTATAATGTAATTAATTCTGTAAATATTAATGAATGCTGTTATTAATACAGTGACAGTTATTCTTTAACCTCTGTTTCTTTTAGATTGTGTTTAGATTCATCACAACCTTTAGAGCTCTACAGCTAGGCAGATAGATAATCAATTCTCTAAGCTGTCCTGTACTTTTCCCTGTCAAAAAACCCCATGACACTTGTATCTTTTTCATTTGGGCTGCTTCAACAAGAGTTGACATTTCTGACCATACCTGTGGGCCAAAGAAAGGTGGTGATTTGTCAAACATTAAAATCTTTTCAGACTGATTTAGATTCTTGGTTTTAATTATTTTAATGTGAATTCTCTATTAGCATGAATATTGGATCAGAAAAATGCATTCCTCTGTCCTACCAGAAAACAGACTTCCTTGTATATTAATTAAAAGAATATTTTCAGTTAATTTGCCCTTCCTAATTTGAAAACATGTGTATAGCTGAGAAAACAATTTCCTTCTGAGCTGATGGAAACAATTACACTGCTTATCTGTGCCCATCTTCACCAACCCTTTCTAATGTCATTGTGATTTTCTCCCTTACACTCTCAGGCTTAGATTTTTAAAAAATATATTATAAGAATTTAGCTAGATTTCCTGTAATCCATTTACTTCTTTTTCCTACATGATTATTTTCTACAGAATTGCCATTGATAAATGTGTCATGTTTTGCTAAGTATATTTAATAGACCATATTATTCATTGAGTCCATCTTAGTTTTTTTTCTTGATATGTGATTTAAGCTGAAAAGCTAGGAAAATGGTAACAGTTAAGTAATATCTAATATTATTGTACTACTTAGTTTTTAATTATATTTCTAATAAATTAGACTGCTTGTCTAGTATTTGATGTCAATATCTAATATTTAAAATATTAATCATTTTAAGTTGTAGCTAATAGTACTATAACTATAATGTTGTAGAAATAAGAAACAGAAACAGTGTAGCTTATTGTTTGCATTAGGTAGTGGAGCTGACATGCACAAATATTTTGAAAGTGGTTCATTTTGTTCCTAGTGCACATGACGTGTTGATAGATTCTACGCTTGTCTGTTTTCTTTTGATTCCAACGAGGTATATCTAACCCAGGCAAGGAAGAGTAGACCCTGTCACATCCATCGAACTGCGTGGTATGTGGGATGAAGACAGGTGCTAGGAGTGAGGATCTGAGACATACAACAGAGCATCTAAAGGAATGCTTAAAATTGCTGTGGTCCATGCTTCATTAAGGTGTTATCATGACCAGTCTTACATATCTGGTTTTGTGAGCTACAGCCTCAGAGATGCACCTTGGGTACCAGTTGACTCACGATGAACTTATGACTCATCAGAGAGGCAGAGAGAATGTAATTTACATTAAGTGTTGCCTACTATGGCTTAAACACACATTTCCTATTTCAGGCATTTCATATTCTTCCAGTGAGTCCTTTGATGTAAGGGAGGTACAGAGAGACCTATTTCGTGATAGAGTCTGGATTCAAAGCTATGTCTGCTGAGCATCTGCAGTTGTGTTATCATGCATGTCCTCAGATGTAGTAAGCTCACAATTCAACAGTTTCTAGGTTAGAAACAGGCTGAATGCACGGGGACTCAGAACCTTGGGCTGTGAGGTGATTTGCTTCTTCTGTGCCTTCCATCTCCAGTTTAGAACATCTGGAGCTCTGTGGTTCAGGAAGGGAGTAACAGCCCTTCCCGCCTGGCCCATGCTATGTGTGAAAAAAAGCAGCTTGGCTGGTGTCATATTGGCTAATGGAACTCACAACTCTTTTGTGGTGTCAGTTTTGAAGCTCATTTTTGTTTTACACTAGGCCCATTAATTTCCTGTGTCTCTAAAATGACAATGGAACTTTGAGAATAATTGTGTTTTCTTTAGATTGATACATAGAGGGACCAGATACCTGGTACACTGAATACATATTATTATAGGGAGTGAGATGAAGAGGATTTCAATTGGAACTCTGAACACATTTTTATAAACAGTTATAATATGAAATGAAATATGATTACAAACTACTTAAACAACTGCAGGCATGCCAGAGTTATATAT